GACGAGCCTCCGCCCAGGTCCTGCGCTTCTCTTTTCCGAGGCGGTCCTCGACCACGGCAGCAAAGATCTGCATGACCTCCTGCTCGCCGAGGTCCTGCTCGTCCAAGGTCGCCAGCAACGTCTCCACGTCCTTCTCGGGCAGCTCGACGGAGTCGTCCAGCTCCGAGAGGAAGACCTCTCGCACCTCGTCGACGGCCGCCAAGGCCGGCCCTCCAGAGCCAGCAGCCGCGTACTGCACGTCCTCGGTCTCCACGGCGAACGTCTTGACGACGGGCTGGGTCGTCGGCAGCATGGGCTGCTCCAACACGTCCAGCTTCAGGATCGCCTGCCTGACTGAACTGAAATCCTCGCGTCCTCCCGCCAGCGTGCGCATGTTGATCTTATTCTGCGCCGTCAGGCAGGCGCCCTCCTCTAACAAGCGTGTCTTGACGTTCCCCGGCAGAATCAACTGATGACGCTCGGCCTCGGCTATCTCAGCGTCTCTTCGCAAGACATAGTCCGTGAGACTCTCCCCCTTCTTGATCATATAGTTGAAAAGTGCCGCGTTGTGGGCCACTCTCTCTCGGTCACCCGGTCTCTTGCCGTTCAAGACCGAGAGGTGCGATAGAATCTTCTCAACCCCGTCATCGCTCTCCAGCTCGTGGTGGAGCAGCTTGAACTTCGCCTGCAAGTCTACGGGCAAGCCCTCCAGCACTCTGTTCGCCTGAGTGTGCGCCTTGAAGCCCGTTCTCTTTGTCCACGCCGTGAGATTGTGTCGATAAGTATCGAGATGGTCGAATCCGAGCCAAGGCGGAGGAGCACCGAAATCACGATTCTGAACGAACTCGCCGGAGGCATGCGAGCTCCTGGCACGTGACTCTCTCCAGCCGCCCCACGATCCCCAGTCCCAGTCCTGCCCGGAGTCCCAGCCCCACGACGCCCACGGCCACCACTGCTGGTCCTGCCTGTGATCTGCTTCACTGGCGGCGTCGTCATTGCCTCTCCAGGGAGGCGTCACCTCTTGCCAGCCCGTCTCGGACTGGTGGCGTGCTGTCTCCTCCGCTTGGAAATCGCTGCCTCGCGGAACGCCCGTCCCGTCGCCCGAGACTCCCATCACCTCTTCCAGCTTCTCCGACATACGCTCCGCTTACCACTGTCACAGCACGAGGGGACACATGGATCTGGAGGGTCGTAAGATGAGGAGAGGACGATCTTCTCTCGAGCGGTCGGGGAGCGCTCCAACTAGAATGCACTCGCGCCTAAGCCAACAGGCTACGGAGGGAAGGACATAGGGGGGGGGGAACGACACCGAACACGGAGGCCCCTGAGGGCCGTCGGGAAACAGTTACTGTTGGAGCGATCGCACGGGTGAACGGTGGTGATATGCAGACTCGGCCACATCATGCAAGCTATGCAAGAGGCCGAAAGGCAAGTGCTTCCACTCAGAAAGAGGAGGAACACCGCAGTCCGTCTCTTTCAAGGATAAGGCCCAAAACGTGGAGCTTAGTCAGGAGGCCTAGCGTCTCAAGACTGCGCTTGCCGCCGTGTCGAAAGTCAAGTCTAATGCATCCATGGCTGCGGCGGCCGAGGATGAAACCATGGAGGTCGACGATGGCTCGGCTGAAAAAGACACTGCTCGCATCGTGGAGCTCCGCAGCCAGATCGACGGCCTCGAGAAGATCCCTGACAGTACGGGGATGTTCGCGACGATGCGGGCGTCTCTGGTCAAGAAGCTCAATGAATGACGAGCCATACTGGTCGACGCCAAGCCGTTGCCTCCAGATCCAGAGGGTCACGCAGCAGTTCGTGGGCGCGGGGAAGCGGATGGCCACGAAGCAGAAGCATTTTGATAGCCTCAATAATCAAGGTTGATGAGTTGCAGAGTGAGAGGGATGAGGTGGCGCAGGGTATAGCAGCGATCCAAGTGGCGGCCAATTTCCTCAGTGAACCCAAGTGGCGGCCAACTTCCTACAGCCGACCACCGTGGTCGACGGCACGGTGGCCTCCCTCGACGCTGTGCTCCCGTCCGTGTGCATGTGGACTGCGCAGCTCGAGCACGTGGTCAGCAGCTTCGGTGCCGACCAAAGGCTGGCGCGCGAGCTGGCGGCGGTGGCTGGGCAGGTGTGCAAGGCTGCCATCAAGGCGGCCTAGGCCACCGCCGAGACTGATGCGGCTCAGCGGAGTGCAGTGGCTGATGCTGCTGCGGCAGCTGAGGAGCAGCATGCTGCAGATGGCGCGCAGGCTGCTGCCAGCTCAACGGCTAGCGGCGGTGTGGCAGCCCCTGCGCCCGAGCCCAGCATGGGATGCATCCCCTCCAGCTTCGACGACCCACAGGTCCTCAAGGCTTTCCAGGAGGCCATGGGGATGCAAGTGCCAGAGGAGGAGGAGGAGGAGGAGGAGGAGGAGGAGGAGGAGGAGGAGGAGGAGGAGAGGAAAGAGGAGGAGGAGAGGAAAGAGGAGGAGGAGGAGGAGGAGGAGGAGGAGGAGGAGCTCAGAGGTGCCGTCAAGGGATGCGGCGACGGGCTGCTGGGCTTCGCGAAGAGGCCCAAGCTCAGTGCTTAGAGTGTTCGTCTGCTTGGCTTGTGTGTCGGCGGTGTCGGTGGCTGGATGCGATGGCGGAGGCGCTGTGGCAAGTGGGGGCTTTGTCCCAGCAAGGCCTGCTACCCACAGTGCCGCCCTGCAAGTGGAAAGCCTCATCACGTCCACCAATGTACCGTGCTTTGGAGACGCTGATGGCGCAGGAGTCGTTCAAATTAGAGACTGCTCTTGTGCAGGAACCTCATGCTGGTCTGGACAAAGCGACTGCCCTTCATCAGTGTGTTCAGAATGTTGGTTTCAATGGTGTGTGTGTGTGGGAGACGGCGCATATTTCCAAAGGAAGGGGTAATAACATGGAGGCTGCGCAGTCCTGGCCAAGGCGGGGATCCAAGTCTCGTTCCCCCTGGGAGAAAGTCAGGCGCCCTTGTCCCAGGATATGTTGTCGCGGGTCACGTCCATTGGGGAGTTTCTGGTGGCATCATCTGCGTGACGGTCTATTTGCACGATACAGACGGTCTCAACTCGACCAACCTTGCCCTTCTACATGGGGTAGGCTTTTCTTTATGCTCGATATATCCAGCCAAGGTCTTGCGTGGGTTGTTCGATGAGAGTTCAGTGTCGAGCCACCTGCCTTGATTCCCTGGTTCAACTCGATCGCTGGGGTTCCAGCCAGAACACCACCTGCAGGCAGACGTCGCCAGCTCACGAATACGATTTCATTCGGGTTGCTGCTGGCCTGCTCGTGCGTACTGGTGGCGTGCACGTTGACGACGCGGCCGAGACACCGCCCAGTTGCGCTGGAGTTGCTAGAGTTGCCTAGTGCAGACGGACCTTTGTGGTGTCATGGGAGCCCCAAGCTTTCGAGGCTAAGGCTCCGCCAGGCTGCAGTCGTTACCTATGAAATTGAAAGCCTGTGCAATTGTTGATCGACGCCGCTGGGAATGAGGATGAGTTGGCGCAGGCGTGGGACGACGTAATCCAACTGATCGAGATGGAGCTCTGCAGGCGCTCAAGGATTGTGATCGCGAAGGTCGTGATGCTGACCCGACCCCATAGACATGAACAGCCGTGCGCGAAAACACCTCCTCAAGAGCCCGCAGGGCAAGGAGCCGCCCCGGCAGATCGGGAAGCCTCGGACGCGATCGTGCCGACTGCAGCAGGGTTGTCGTGTGCGATGGGCGATCACCGGACAGAGAACTCAGGACTTCGCTGCCGTTGCAGGGCCGCTCTGGGTGACTCAGTCTCGCTCTTCGCGGCTGCGCGAGGCGCGACCACCGCGTCATCCTCGCGCCCTCGCGCCGCTGCTCAGCATCTCACCAGCGCTGGCTGGTTGAAGCGGTCCTGGACGACACCGCGGGTGCCTCCGCTTGAGCGAGCGTGGCAGAGCCCAGCGGCAGCCGTGGCACCCTTCTGCATCCCGAGGCCCCCCTTTGCCAGGTCTGCTCTCAGCGAGCCTACTGACTCTCAGCCGCGGCGTGTGCGAGTCATTGAATCCACGGAGCCCGCCCTCCCTCCACGCCCGCAGGGCCCGCTCCGGGCCGCGCCCGCGTCCGACCGGGCTCCCGACGCCAACTCCCCTGCCCCTCCCGAGCTCGGCCTCGGACCCCAGCGCGGCAGGCCGCGCGAAGGCCCCAGCCGGAGGGGCCGATCCGAGGGGCTTGCGCGCGCCATCGGCACTGCAGGCGCGCATCGCGGCCGCAACCCGCGACCTAGGCCACCCAACCTCGCGCATCGCACTCCGCCGATGCGAAACGCACGGCCACCTTCGCGCCATCACGCCGCCCCCCTGGGAGAAGTGCCACCGCCCGGGCCCAGACCGCGGCGCGCGACGCGCGGTGTGCCTTCGCGCACCCGCGGGTGACCTGGGCGGTCGCACCCTCGCGGGGGCGCGGGCACAGACGGGCGGCACGAGTCGGGGGCGCAGGTTGACCAACACGAGGCCGCTCCGCCCCGCACGAGCGGCCTGCACCTGCCTCGGCGCGGCCTGCGCGGGCCCACCCCGCACGGGACCCCTGGAGTTAAGTCGGGCCTGTCCTCCTACAAGGGGATTTTGGGCGAAAAATGAAAAATACCTCCAACATATGCAAAAATAGCAACAACAACAAAAAATCGTCCCTGTACTATTTCTCGGCTATGTTTGAATATTTCCCCTGTAGAGGGACAGGCCCGACTTAACCCTGGAGCCTCCTGGAGCCTCCAGGAGTGGAGGAGAAACGGCTCCACGGTGGAGGAGACGGGCCTCCAGGATTAGGCCACGGACAAAGCGAAACCAGAAACACAGAGTCTCGGAGGTCCACGCGGGCGTCTGGGATCGGCGCCTGGACCCCCTGCTGGCGGCGACTCGGGCACCGCCCCCGACGCGCTCAGCGTGCCCGGGAGGAGGTGCAGCGGCAATCTAAAGACATCCGCGCGGAACTGCGAAAGCTCGTGCTTGCGCGGTTGTTCCCTTCCTCGAAGACTGAAGGTCGAACCTCCTCCTGGGAGGCTTCGGATCCTCTGGGGCCGCTCGCGGCCTCGGTCTTGTCGCCGCCACCAATGACGATGGCACAATTCGTCCTGCACGTTCTGCATTCCGCCGCGCGCGCTGCCCCGGTCTCCGGCGGCCCGACGCTGCCTGGAGCTCGACAGCCCCCTGACGCTCAGCCCGCTGCGAGGGACTCCGCGTGCAGTTGCACCACGTCGCTTGGTCGTACCCAGACCTCCGACGATCTGACTAGTCCAATCGCGGCGCTTTCCCCTCGTTTCGGCCTCCGGGGGCCGCTTTCGGGCCCCAGGACCATCAGACACGGCCGCCCGCGGGGAAGGTGCGGGAGCTCTGGGGTCGCAGATCGAAGAAATGTGCAGACGCCCCCACTTCTAAGCATGTGGGAGGCTGGAGCTTATATACACCATGCTGCCAGGGCGACCAAAAGACGCGGCGCTCTTTTGCATCCGGGCACCCCGGACCCTTCCCCGAAGGTTGGCTTCTCATTCCGGGTCATCTTCCTGCCGTTCCGCGGGAACCAGGGAAACGGACACCGAGCACGGCAGAAATCGATCTTACCGAGCCGCCATGCGAGGGCTGGTCTTCGCAACATGGGTCCCGGGAGGTCTCGGCCCCTTCCCCCCCCGGGCGACGTTTCTGTCATCCTGGGGATTGCTGTGCGACGGCCCCTGAGGCCCGGCAAGGGCCCCCCCAGAGGCCGACGGCGGCAGGATAAAATGAGACATCACGACTTCCCGACTTCCCGACCCGAGGGGGTCGGGGCATCGAGGCCCCGAGGGCAGTCCGTCTCGACCTCGACGAGCCGCCGGAGGCCTGGGCGGGATCTGCCGCGGCCTGGCCCGCGCCTCCGGCCCCCCGCGCGGGCGGGCGCACGGTCACCGGCCGACCTCGCGCAGGAGGCATCCAAAAGCACCACCGCCCTGCCTGGCCCGGGGCAGGCACGGCGCAGAAGGCCCCCCCCCCCACTGGCAGCGCCTGTGCAGCCATGGAGCCACCAGGAGGCGCGCTGAGCAAGGAGGGAACGAGAGGCAGCTTCTGGCCGCGGCCAGCCTCGACCACGAGGTTGTCCCCGGTAACCCAGATCTGATGACGGGTCCGAAGACCAGAGCCCCTCCTGAGCCCAAAAAGGTCCTTGCTTCAGCGTCCGAACTGTAAAACCGTCCTGGGGCCCAGGGAGGCCCGGGCCAGGCGTGGTGGTGGTGGTGGTGCGCGAGCGCCTCCTGGAGAGGCCGGGCTCCGCTCAGAACTGGCCCCCGGGACCTCTCCTGGAGTCCGCCCGGGCCAGCTCTTCCGGGACCGACTTGGGACGGCCCCGAGGTCCCGTGATTGGGCCCCTGAAGCTCGACATGGGGGAAGCCTGTTCGGTCCTCGTCGTCGTCATCAGTCCACGGCGCTCCCAGGAGGGTCTCCTCCGAAGCCGCAGGAGAGCTTCTCAGGAGGCCCGGAGGGCTTCTGAGAAGCCCCGCGCCGCCCTCTGAGAAGCTCTCAGAAGGCCTGCGCCCTCTCGCTTCCCCCCTAATGAGGCTCCTCCTCCTCCTCGCCGTCACCCTTCGGCGCCCGTCTGCGGGGAGACCTGGGTGTACACGTCGCCCCGCGTCACCACCGGGCAGCCGCGGCGCGGCCCAGGCGCGGCGGGCGCGTAGGCGGTGCCCGCAGACCCGTAGGCCTGGGACCGGGCGTCCTCTGGGGACGAGGACGACGACGACGACGACGACGACGACGACGACGACGACGACGACGACGACGACGACGACGACGACGAGGCCGAGCCACTGGGGGTCCATGCGTCCGCCCCCGTGCCTGCACCCCCCCACCGCTGCCCCCGACCAGCGCTCATCCGAGCACCGGGCCCGCAGGCTGCCGCCGGCGAGGGCGCCGAGGGCGCCCAGGCACGCGAGAGTCTGGAGGCACGCACCAGCACAGGCAGAGAGGCCCAGCGGGGGGCCAACGAGCCCAGAGGATCCAGAGCACTCAGAACCGAGGTTCGACCTCCACTCTCCACTCTTGAGCTGTATTCTTTGATCGGGAGCCTCCAGGCAGTTGAGTCGGCGCCTCTCGAATCATCATCCTCCTCGATTCCCCCTCCTCGCTCTCTGCCTCCACAGTGGAGGTCCGACCTCCACGATGATTGTCTCCGATCCCCTGAGAGGGCCCTCGAAGCCCAGGGGGAAGGCCAGGCACTCCACCCTGGGGCGCCGCCGCGGAGTCGAGGCGGCGTGCACCCCCCGCGCGCGCACTTGGGCCGCCCTGGAGTCCCTCGTCATGGCCGCCTGGCCCGCGCCCACGTCGTCCGCGAGCGTCTGAATGGCCTGCCAGGGCTCCTGGTAGCGGATGAGCTCGGTCTGGTTGCGGCTGCGGATGTGTTCCTTCGCGCGGGCGGGCCAATCGTGTCTTTCTGGCCACGCGCAGAGGGGGGTAGGGGGAGGGGGGAAGGCCTCCTTCTAAGAAGACTTCCCCCCTCACCCTACCCCCTCTGCGCGTGGCCGATCGTTGTTGCTCCCAGCACCCAGGGAGAAAGGCCATGTATAGAGACCAGCGGGGAGCCAGCGCAGAAGACGGCAGGGAAAGGGGAGGGAAGGATGGGAGGGGGGAACGGGAGAGAGCCGAAGGTCTGGCCGCGACCGCGGACGTGCTCCTCCAGAAGAACAACCCAAATCAGCATGAGCTTTCGGAGGTCCGCCCTGACGTCGCAGGTCTGCGCTGGACCACCCTGGCGGCGCCTCCGACGCAGCCCCTGGCGCGCTTCGCGCGCCAGTGGGGGGATCGAGCACCAACCCAAGAAATCCGACCAGACCTCCGAAAGTTTACGTTTACGGCGCATCTCGTCAGTCGAAGATGTGTCCTTCATGCAAGAGGCCAGGTACGCGGTGAAGATCACGGCGGCGAGGGCGACGACCACGGCGAATATGGTAATGCCATTCGACACCCCGCAGGCGAAGGAGGGGGCGTTCTCCATGGCCACGTACGTGGTCTTGCACGCCGAGCCGAAGTGAACGAACAGGGCGAGCCACGCGAATCCCCAGAGGGAGGTGCCCACGAGGTAGGCCATGTAGGCGGTCATGTGGGACTCCACGTGGTAGATGACGCCCACCTTGGCACGAGTCGGGCACGCGCTGACATGGATGAGGAACCCGTGGATCGGGGAAGGCTCCCCCGAGACAGGAAGTCTCTGCCGCCTGGTCTGGCGGCAGAGCGCGCCGATGCTGTATGGAAATGGGGCCCGTTGCTTGATCCATGTCTGCGCTTCCCAGACTGAGGGAGAAGGGGTCCTGAAAGAAACGGGTCCCGGCCCGAACCGTCTTACCCCACAATGTGCACCTGCTGTCCGATTGTCGAACCCCTCACCAGCTGGCTCGCTGGAGCTCCTCAGGTCGCGGAGGTCAATGAGTCGATGAGTTCATGCGCGAATATTGAACAAGGCGTCGTTGAGCATCGACGCTCGCTCAGAAATTCCGTCAGCTGTTCTCTCATATGAGCGCGAGTGGAAATACAGAAATTGTATGTGTTTTCGTAAACTCCTCTGTTGAGAAATTGAAAGCCTGCTTCTTTGGATTTCGTAACCTCGGTGCGACGGCCAGCTTCCTACCAGAAGCGTCGTAGCAAATCCGAGATTCGGGTGGCGGGTGAAGACCGTGGGGGAGATGCAAGCAAACATGTAATTTGATGAGTATCCAGCTGAGGAGCACAACTCCTAAAAGGACTTCAATACATGATTCAAGCAAGAACAACAACACGCACAATTCGCCCCGAAGAGCTTGCAGCGCCGCGCCCGCACAAACACACGCACACACACACTTTTGATCGCGAGCGACGCAGGCAGCTGCGCGCCGTCAAGGTAGTCAGACGAGAGGCCAACCTAACAGGACAGGCGGAAAAGGACCGCAACGGTGGCGAGAACTACGCGGCGGAGGGGAAACCTAGCACACACACACACACACACAAAAAAAAAAAAACATACCCACCACGCACACGCACACGCACACGCACACGCACACACACACACACACACATACACACACACACACTTTGTGGAAAGTCGCGGCCTCGTGCGCAACGACGAGGCGTAGAAAGTCGAGTACCACCGCGCGCCAGGCCCTCAAAGGCGGGGAACCCCAAGCCGTGGACCACCCGGGCGTGGGTGGCTGGTGAGAAGGAGAGAGGAGGGACGGCGAGAGAGCGACGGACCGTGGGGGGAGGGTTCCGCCAGGCGACAGCTAGGCGCAAGGGGACGGCAAGCGCGCGCTCGACCAGCGCGTGCGGGTGACAGCCGCGAGGGCGCTGAGGGAGAAGACGAGACGGTACCACTGTCGGGGAGGCGAAACCCTGGCTGTGCTAGCGCCGGGGTGGAGGGCGCTTGTGGGGCCGCGGGAGCTCCCGAGACGGGAGGCGCTGCTGGGTAGTGGATTCCTCGGCGCGGTCTCGCGCATCCGACTGCAGGACCCACGCGGGCACCGAGTTGAGGAAGCGACTGAGATGCTGAGTAAAGAAAGTGTGAGGATCAAGGTCGGGCTCCCCGTCGCCCACTTCTGGCCGCTTGTTGGTGACCCATATCGCGCCAGAGATCTGCCGCGCAGTCGGCGTCAGGGCCCCCGGGTTCCAGCAGCGCTGGGACCCTGCTGACGAGCGCTTCCCGGACGCCTTCGGAAGACGGAGCAGCAGGCGCAGCCGCAGGGGGAGCCAGGCCCTCTGCTCGGGGGAGGGGGGCCTCCTCGCCCGCGGAGGCGCCGCCGTCTGCCCTCTGCCTGGCCTTGGATGCCGGAGGAGGCCTGGTACCGACCGGCGTGGCAGGGCGGGGAGCCCCGACGCAGGGGCCGTCGGTGCGGACTTGGAGGTGGCGGCAGGGCTGGGACGGGGGCTCGCAGCTTCGCGCGGCCGAGCGAGGCAGGCGTCTTGGGCACCGAAGGCGGCCACCCTGACCAAGGGGACCAGGGGCCACGCCCCGCGGGCGAGAGAGATCTGTCAGGATGGGCGCGCCGTTTCCCGGGTTCTCGCCCAATGACCTCGCGCGCAACTGGCCCGGTGGGAGTGGGATCCCGGCTACTCCCCGCCTGCGTCCGCTCCCTGGAGTGCATGGGACGTTGGCGACGAGGGGGCGGGTCATTTGGGACAGGGGACTTGGTCGCTTGTCGACTCAACGGGGCCTTGGGGTCTGCCAACCTCCCTCCGCTGGCGGAAGGTGCAAACCGATGGGAAACTTCTGGCGGAAGATCAGGAGGACGATCCGGTGGAAGATCTTGGAAACATCTGGAGGGAGATCTGCAGGAATATCTGGCGCAAGACAAGCATGATCTGGGAAACTGGGCGGGCTTCTGCGACTCTGCTAGTTTGCTATTCGAGTTTACAGACTATTTGAATTCAGCTCTAGCAGAAGATACGAGTGCATGTGCTTCAAGAGCTCGATGCTTAGGTGCTTGATGAGATTGTCTTGCGTGCGCGCGCGAATACGCGCATGTGGGCCGCATTGTGCACTTACAAATGATCCGCAACATAGATCAAGCAATGTCCACCGCGCAATGTCATCTACAAAAGGTCGCACCAGGCCTGGATGGGGCGTTCCACCGAATTCTGTTCTTTCACGCGTAGGACGCGTGGGGTCTGCAACACGTATGAAAACAGAGGAAACGCCAGGGCCTGATCGGTCCAGTATGGAGTATAAGCACACTGAATGTCATAAAGCACTAGGCCATCATGCAGTTACTCTCCATGGTGCTTTCGGTACTATGTCAAGATCATGTGAAATTCAGTTGGGCGTGTAATTTTGAAGTGTGGCGACCCCTCTGACGCAATGACCCCTCGGGCCACGCCAGGGACCCTGGGCAGGAGTGACCTTTGGTGCGCGACTTCGGGGCATCGCCGAGGGTCAGATCCAAGGGCGCAGGCCAGTGCTGGGGAGACCCCTGCGGGGCCGCACCAAAGACCGCTCCAGCGAAGAGTCACTCTTGCGCGCAACCAGAACAGGGGGAGCGGATGGGAGGCCACCGCAGGAACCTGTCCTCGAACCCCGACCCTCGATCGGCAGACGTCGAAGACGGACAAAACGCATAGACATGGACTTTCGCAGATCCGCGCGGGTTTGTTTGGATCTGCGCTGGCCCCCCTTGGCGCCGCCACTTGCACGCTCCGCGCGCCAGGGGGGGACATCCAGCGCCGATCCAAGAAATCCGCGCGGACCATCGAAAGTTCGTGTTTATGCAACTGTTGTATGAAATGACGCCCACCCCGGCGCAGACGATGACGGGGATGCCGGCGAGGAACCACGCCCCCAGCATGCACTGCAGGGCTGGCGCGACTAACACGCCGCCGATCTCGGCCGAGTGCACGGACGACACCTGCGCGGCGAGAGCAGAGCGGGTCTCACTCACCATCGCAGACCTACGGTGCAATACTCCGTGCGGGAGATAATACACTACCATACTGACTGAGGGAGGCAAGACAATGAAACACAGAAGCGCGCACTGTTTACAACACTTTAGGAAATGTCTTCCTCGCCCCAAGCTCAAACACGCACACTGAAAGGGTAAAGGTTGTTGTTTTTTGTACCGTCCCCAGGCGGCACGTTTCCCTGAGCAGCGGATGCGCTAGGGTCGCTGATTGCTTGAAAAGAATACGCTTCTGGGAAACATAATGCGACAACTGTGCTGTCCCGTGCCGTACCGCGTGCCGTGCCGTGCCCGTGCCGTGCATAATCGTGCAAATTCAAAAACAACTGCCGCCGTGCCGGGCCGGGCCTCATCTGCAGATGAAAAAAATAACGCCCGCATGCCGTGCCATGCCCGCAGGCCGCGCCGTGCCGTGCCCACAACCCCGTGCGAAAATGCACATGTCTTTTGTGACCCACCCCGCCCCAATCTCAACGTTTATCACGTGATCGGAGGGCGTCGGAATCGAATTCTTTGGTTGAAATTGGAAAGTCCCAGAAATGCTTCGTGTCACAGAAACATGCAACGCCGTGCTAGGGATACTCTTCATATTGAAAAAATCAATGCCGCCCGCGTGCCGTGCCATGCCAGCGCCGTGCTTAGGCCTCAGACTGAAAGAAACATGAAAGACTCTCCACTGGAAAACATCTTGTTGGTAACATATGCAGGACGCAATACGCATGACTCGACCCTATCCTCACGCCAGCGTCTGAAGTCTGTCTGCGTCCTATCTCCACCTCCCAGGCCAGCCCATCTTCGCGTTTGTTTCCCGCAGGGAGCATTGCATTGTCCCCCGCAGGGAATGCTGCGTTGCACTCTCCCGCGGGGAATATTGCCTGGCATTCTCTCCCGCAGGGAATATTGCATCGCGGCGTCCCCCGCAGGCAAAGACCCCCGCAATGCGCATTACTTTGCAGCGTCTCCAGCAAGGAGCACTGCACTGCATTGTCTCCCGCGCGCAGTACGACGCCGCCGCGCGCTGCGCGAGAATCTCCGCAGTCCCAGGGCGAGGGCGCGCCTGCGGCTGCACCTCCGCGCGCTGCACCTCCGCGCGCTGCACCGCCGCGCGCTGCACCCCCGCGCGCTGCACTGCTGCGCCGGCGCACCGCTGCGCCGCCGCACCGCTGCGCCGCCGCACGCTGCGCCGCTGCGCCGCCGCGACGCGCGCGGGCCTGCCTGCGCAGGCAGGCCGCCGCCCGCGCAGGCCAGCCCACTCCCGCCCAGGGACTGCGTCGGTCCTGGGCGGGGGTCTCTTGGAAGGCAGTCGGCCCCTGCCCCGCTGAGCTGGCGGGGTTGCATCTTGCCTCTCCCTTCGCCCACGCAACTGCTTTCCGGTGTCCAACTTGAGCTCTTCCCATTATTGCGGCCCTTGCCCTTCCGGCGGGCCCCGTCGGGCGCGCGGGGAGAGGGCCGAGACGCATCGCGCTCGCTGTCGAGCCCAGCTCCGCCGCTGGCGCGCCAAGCTTCGCCGCGCGAGCGAACGTAGATTGGTCGCCTCTGGCGCAGGTGGGTGGCCCTCTGAAGGAAGGGGCGCGGCTTTTATCCAGCTCTTTGCGGCCACGTTCACAGCACTTGTTATCTCGGGCATGGGCCGTGCAAAACTGGTCAGGATTCTTCTTTGGCGCCAGGTTGCTCCGCCGCGAACGCGCCCTTGCCGCCCTTCGCGTGGGAAGGGTGGCCCCAGGGGCAGATGTCGCCGCGAGCAGAACAGCTTCCTCGCTGGGCCCGATCAATTCACATTCCTTGCTCGCTGCCATGGTGATTTTCTATTCGTCCCAGCTGACCATCTCCCTTCTACGCGTTGATCGTCTCTGGCGTGTTCAAGGAGCTTCTGGCATCTGTCGCAAAGCAATCGATAGGCATTGCTCTGGTCGCCCCGCCCCATCCGATAGCAACGGCCCGCGCCCATTCCTGCGTCCCTGCGGCGTTTAACTTGCGACCCAAACGCGGCTGCGAGATTTTTGTCGGCGGGCACTGACTTCGCGCCGAAGATGGCATGGCCCCCTTGTTCACGGAACTCACTTGGATTATTGTCAGCCGTCTTGACGCCGCCCGGATGAGCGAAGTCAAAGATTCACCCGCCGGCTTCCGCAGACCGATACCAGTCCATACTCATAAAACGAATGCGTCGCCCCTTGACGAAGCAATTACGGGTTCTGGTTTGTTCAGCGCGGGCGGCCATTCCTGAGGATGCCGCCCAGTGCTTGCGCGAGCTTCGCGTCGAGCGCGTCGAATCGAAATCCCCGCTGTCAGCGAGCTTCTCGCGCGTTGCGCCATCGCTTTCGACCTCCCGAAGCCGCCGAAAGGATGGGTCGAGTCTGCCCGAGGCCGAGCCGACTGCACTGTAAACGTCCTGCTTCCACTCCCAGAAGTAAGAATCTGACGGCAGAGATCGAACCTGAAGGCGCTCTGCTTCTTTACCCGTCTTGTCTTTATCAATTAACAGGTTGACGACCTCTTCGGCTGCCGACTGGCGGTCATTTGATGAGTCCGCACTGGCGCCCAGTCATTCGGACTCGGAACGGCGGCGGAGCATCTGGCAAGTTACGCCAAGCTTCTGGGGGCTGCGCCCACTGTTCTTGCATGACTGGCTTGTCCTGCACTGGTCGAGTAGGGGTGGCTGGTTATTCTGGCCGTTGGAGGGTCGGCCTCCGTTCGGGATCCGGTTGCGGCGGCGGTGGCACGTTAGCGGTTGCGCCATCTGGGACTTTACCACTGTCCCGAGCGTCGGGTTTCCCCATCGCGATTACGCCGGGTTCCCCCCTCGCAGTGGCGTCGGATTTCTCCGACGCTTACTTGGGAACGGCCTCAGCGGTTGGTGGGCGCGCGTCGCCAACTACTCGCCAGTCGGCTAGCTCGCGGGCCGCCAGTGGCGATGAGCTCTCTTATTGCCCAATACGTGCCCCACCGGGCTACCGTGGATAGTGACCGGAGACAGCTGCCTGACCATCACGGCCATTTGGATGGCAGCCTCCTGATGGTGATCGTTCACCGTGCGCGCTAGATTGTGCATCTCGCTACTGATTCGACCTACTTCAGCTGCTGCTTCATTGCACATCCTGTCCACATTGGCTATGTGGAACTCGCTGTTCTTCTTACCCGATCGCTCAGGTCGGCGCTTGCTCATTCGTGCCATTTCAGCTCTGTGTGAGAGCATTCGGCCCTGCAGCAACAATTGGAGTGTTTTTTGAATATGTATCAGCTCGCCGTTTTTGGAACACTGCACATCTGTACTATCCGTTTGCTCTTAGAAGAAGGCGATCGCCGCAACTATCTCCTGGGCCTTGGGCACGATTTCGGATGCATCACGCCGAACCTGTGCCCAGGCGCTTGCAGCATTCTCTAGTGTTGAGTTAACTCATTGTTGTTTAGTTGCTCCAACTTTACTACTCGTGCTCCGAGTGCACGGATTCGATCCAGGATGTGGTTAACCCCCCTATTCGGTTGCTCGCTGGACGGGTGGCGGGCCCGCGCAGATTGTTGCCAGGTTGCCAAGAATCTCCCGAGCCTGGGGGCCCACACTCTGGGCATTCAGGGCCTGGCGCTTGCCAGCTCCGCAAACGGTAGTTCGCCACATGTTCATGTTCGCTTCTTCCTGCTGTTCGAACACTATGCCTTGCTCAGACTCGGCCTGCTGCTGCATTTCCACCATCTGCTGGCTCAGGGTCATATCGATATTTCCTTTTCCATGGCGGCTGGGTTGGACCAACCTCGGAGTCCCGCCGGCGGTCCCGACAACTGCTACTCGACCATTCGAGGTGGCACTTGTTGCGCGTGATCGAAAAGGAGATTTGCCCTGGTGCTTTCCGATGCCTCCGTGCTGAGGGCAGCGGGATACGGGGCAAACAATCTTCCTTCAGATCGCATACGGAACCTTGCCGACCCAGCGTTGGGTTTCCCCAACGTGCCAGCGTCAGGTTGGTTCGCAGGTACGAGTTGTCCGTGCGCCGTTTGTTGCTGTATTGCAGATTGTCTCTCCGACCCCGAGGATTCGTCGGAGATGATGACGTCCAGCGGAGCTTCCGGCTCGCCGCAATTCGCCATTCTAGGTGCAGCGCTTCGCGCTGCGTCGGCTGATTACCTGGATTGGAGGATATAAAGATCTTTGGGCCTTTGGGTCCGACACACCCTTGGTTGTTTGAAGTTTCGGGTCGCCTGTGGAGGCAGCAGACTTCCTCTTAAGTTTACTTCATAAGTTAGTAAGTACAAACTTTCGCAATACAACAACCGAAGCAGGATAAGAGAGAAGAGCACGCGGGCCGCGAGCGCATTTTCCCTCCCCGCCACGCGAGCCGAAGGATGCTGGCGGCGGGCGTTTCCTCATCTTCGATCCCCGGGGGGAAGGATGTGAGGAGGCAAGAAAAGGAGCGGAGGGAGGCCCACGAGGGATCCGAGGGCTACCGAACCCTACGCGGGGTTACCCGCTCAAATAACAAACCGAAGGGTAAAACACAGGCACAGTGGGGATGGGGGCAGGTCTAACGATGCTGATCTGTGCCAGAAAACACAGCCTTACCCGGCGGCTTACGCGGGCCGCCAGCGGGGCACACCGCGCATGGAAACGAGGACGCTTACGCCCGTTCTTGCGCAGGCAGCTAGCGCGAGAACGGTGGCACAGTCGACTCCGTTTGTGTCACGCCGCTCGCCTGCGCGAGCACGAAGATGCAGCAGAGCAGATGCACCAGGCAGCACACCTCCAAGAGAACGCCAAACTCTAAGACCCGGGTGTCGCAATTGCTCCACACCAACTGTCGTCGCCGGGTTTCGGGCACGAGGGTCCTGACAGATCGATCCATTTCGCGAAACGCCGCAGACACATAGAAAAGTCGAGGGCTCTGGTCGTAACTGTTCACGTTGTTGAATTTATTCGCGACGTCGGATCTCAGGGAAACGGTGTAGGTGTATAGTGAGCCTCGCCCGACACCTCCAAGGCCGCGACCAGCGAGACGACCCCGAAGAGCGTCGGAGACGCCTTTGTGCCGCGCGCGCCAAGGGGGGAGGGAAAGGGGACCGCCTTCTACGAGGGTGGGGGGCGTCTTAGGCCGTCGAAGGCGGGAGGCTCCTATGAAGCACCCTGCCTTCTTAGAGGGGCCGACCCATTCGCGCCACCCCCGTCCCATGCATCTGACAGGCGGATTGACATGTCGACGCCTTCCCCGCGGGCAGCTCTTCGTCGCGGATCCATATTTGACGGCCCCGGAGCTCGAAGGTGGGCCTCTGAGGCCAAAGTCGAGGAAGAACGCCGTGATTGAGCAAGAAACAATCTGCTGGAGGGCTGGTATCTGCGTGCCGCCAATAACCAGTCGTAAACACATCCCCATCCCCATGGCTGGCATCACCTCATGTCGGTGACGATCTTCAGGGTCCACCCGGCTTCTGAGACCCAACCTAGAATCAATAGTGCCATCGACTGGGGCCTCAATCTCAGGAATGGGGAGTGTCGAGGCTGGTTTGGCATGCCCGAAACCACCTGGGGACAGAAGAGATGGGGGTGGACAACAGACAGCTGAGATCCCAAACCGACAGGTGGCCGCTGCTGGGCAAGCGACGCCTGTCTCGAATGGCCGGCCTCCGCGGCGACACCGACAGTGGCGAACCCTGCCCAGCACGGACGGGGCCTGCTGCGGGTCTTCGTCCCCGTTCTCTCCGTCGCCAGCTCGACTCTCACGCTCGGGGGAACACGAAGATGCCGATGCCGCTGCTCCCCGGACCTCTCCCGGGGCGGGCCCTGACCAGAACTTTGAAGCGAACCCAGCCGTGGCGGCGAGGGCCAGGCAACGGTGCCGCCGACGCCTCTCGCTCCTCTGGGCCTCGGCCCTCGGACTGGCCGGCCAGCCTTCAGCGGGGCCATCCGCCCAGCGAGGCGCCGCCCAGCGGGCGCGCCGGGAGCCGCCGCTGCTGGCCGCAGGGCCCCGCCACCGCGGGCGGCGAGGCCGGCTCGTGGGAGGGGTTCGCTATGGATCGGGGCGCGAGAGCCCGCGGGGCCAGGGATGGACTTCGAGCCCAAGGGGCCGGCCACGGGCGTGCTGCGGAGGAGCAAGAGGAGAAGCGAAAAAGGGAGGGGAGGGACAATGACAATGAGAATGTCCAACCACTAACTGGTACAATCCCAGCAGCCCTTGAGGGCGTGAGTGGTTAACAAGTATTGTCTTCTCTCCCCCTACTTCCCCTGCTCGGGGTAGGGGTTTTATCCTTTCCCCAGCCCCCTCCCCTGGGCCTGGGAGGGGGGGCCTCAGTAGTTAGAGTTTCAAAATGGGCCCAAGATGGTTCCAAAAGGGCCCCAGGCAGCCCAAGACGGCCTCCAAGATGGCTGAAGATAGCCGGAGATGGTTCAATATAACCTCCTACACACCTCCAAGAAGCCGAAAGACAGTCCCAAAACGGTTCCAAGGGCCCTTCGAGCCTTGCTAGGCACCCTCCAAGAATGTGTTTTGTCTTCTCGTTTTTTCGCTTCCGATGGGCTTTTGAGGCCTCAAGATGGCCCCAATATGTCCCAAGAGAGCCCCAACAGGGGCTCAAGAGCACCCCACGACGGCCCCGAGAGCGCCCAAGAGACGCCCGAGAGCGGCCCCAGATGGGGTCAAGATGCCATTTTTGAGTCTCCGAAGGGGGGGACCAGAAGTTCTCCCCCGTTTTTCGAGCCGAGAACGCCAAGAGGCCTCCCAGACCCTTCTGATGAGCCCTAAGAGGGCCCCAAGACCCTCAAAACGAGCCCCAAGAGGGCCCCACGAGTGCCCCAAGAGGTCCCACAGGGGCCCCAAGAGAGCCCCTAAGATGGCTTCAAGTTGTCTTTCAAGAACCTCTCACAACAACATATCTCCAAAGCCCGACTCCTCATCATCCTTGTCATCGTGTGTTCCTCTCCTCCTCCTGTCCTGCCTCCTCCTCCTCCTCCTCCTCATCATCATCATCATCATCATCAGCAGCAGCATCGTCATCATCAGCATCATCATCATCATCAGCATCAGCATCAGCATCAGCATCAGCATCATCATCATCATCATCATCATCATCATCATCATCAGCGTCATCACCATCACCATAACCATCACCATCACCATCACCATCATCACCATCACCATCACCATCACCATCACCACCATCATCAGCATCATCACTATCAGCATATTCATCATAATCAGCAGCATCTTCATCAGCACCTTCATCAACATCATCATCATCATCAGCATCATCATCATCATCATCATCATCATCATCATCAGCTTCATCATCATCAGCTTCATCTTCATCTTCTTCCACGTGCCGCATTCCTCCTCCTCCTCTTCTTCCCCCCTCATGTTCCTCATGTGTTCCTTCTCCTCCTCCTCCTCCTCCTCCTCCTCCTCCTCTTCCTCCTCCTCCTCCTACCCCCAACATGGTCCCAGGAGGTCGAGCATGGCTCAAGGTAGCCTCCGACAGACCTCCAAGAGGTCTCAAGACAGCCTCAAGATGGCTCGAGATGGCTGAGCCTGGCTCAAGAAAGCCTCCGACAACCTTTAGCTGAGCATGGCTCAAGATAGCCTCGAAAAGGCTTCAATAAAACCTCGGACCGTGTCTGGATGGGCTGGTGGGGATACGCGAAGCGTGAATCAATGTCTTACTACACCTGGGAGGGGGAGCTCCGCGGGGCACCTGGACGGGCCTCAGTCTCAGCTTTGCTGAGAACTTGTCTTTTCAGGAAGAAGAGGGACGGGGGGCGACCGCCGCAACATCTCTCGAGTAACCCGTGCACTCCGTGGCGACACGTGGCAAAGACTGACCAGTGGCTTTATTACCAACAGCAGCAGCAGCAACAACAACTACAACAATAACAACAACAACAACAACAACAACAACAACAACAACAACAACAACAACAACAACAACAACAACAACAACAACAACAACAACCTCAACAACAACAACAACAACAACATCTCACAAGTGAAAAACACTAGCGAGAAGAGGAGAAAGGGAGGAGGAAGAGGAGGAAAAATAAGGACAGGAAAGCAAGGAGGGAGACTGGGCAGCGTGATTGCCAAAAACGGCTGTCACGCACATCGCGTGCTTAAAACCCTGCCCCATGCCAGAAGTGAAAAAATAACGACCACGAGGAGGGGACGGGAGGAGAGGAGAACGAGGAGACGAGGAGGAGGCAGAGGAGGCGGAGGAGAAATCCAAAGCACCAGGAGCAGCGCTCAGGCCAACCTCCAATGCGCGAGCCATTGCGCGCAACCGGGCTCCAGAGAAGACTTCTAGACCCGTCAAAATTCGTATAAGAGTCCAAGCTCCGTGAATGACCACGTAAGCCTAGAATCCCGACGCGAACTAAAGGAGAGACGGACAAGGAGAGGGAGAGGGATGAGGAGGAGGAGAAGGAGGAGGAGGAGGAGGAGGAGGAGGAGGAGGAGGAAGAGGGGCGACTGTACCATCACAGAGGAAGTTGTTTTAGGCTGCGTGCCCGACTCACCTCAGTCAGTCACAAAAGAGGCAGCCGCAATGGAAGGCGGGCGGGGGTGAGGGAAGGGCAGAAACGGAAATTGCGCTGAGACTGCAGTGCGCCGCGCGCGACCGAGAAGGGCGCAGCATGCTAAAGACAAATCAGTCCAAGAATATGGCCACGCTATGATCGCAGGTGGCTGGCCGAGGAGGACAGTGCCGGCTCGTTGGCGAATCCCTGGTCAGGGAGCGGCCTGCGAAACCGGGGAACCCACAACCAACCACCTCCGCGTGCACCGGCGCAATCGCCAATTATCGCCAGCATTCGGGGGTGAGCGAGGACGACACAAGGAGAGGAGGCGGAGAGCAGGCCCACCCCAGCAGGGTTAGCCGGCGCTCCGCCTCTGGGAGGCGAGAGCGGGAGTAAGAGACGAGGGGGGAGGGCAGCTCGACTCGGCTGCCGGGCACCTGGCGTCCCGGAGCCCTCCGGCCACGTGGCCAGGACAGACGTGACACGATAGCTTGCACCACGCTGCGTCGCAGTATTTATGTGGCGGCGGAAGGGGGGAGGGAGGCGGAGGAGGAAGGAGGAGGAGGAGGAACGGGAAAGATAGAAAGGACGACTGACAGTCGCAAAAAGAAACCTTGCCGAAGATGGGCTGGCATCCCCCAGGTGACGTGGAGCCCATACCTAAGAAAAACGGCGTCCTGCGAGCGTGGCCGAAAGTCTGGCCGGCGACAAAGCCGAAAGGAAGAGAGACGGGCAGGGGGAAAGAGAAAGGGGAACGGAGGAGGAACGGGAAGGGGCGCTGCCTGAGCAAAGTGGCAGGCCTGAGCCTCAGCCCAGGCGCGGCGGCCCTGGGTCCACGTTGCCAGGGTGCCCGGCCCTGGCCTCAGTGCTCGGGTCCAGAGGCTCCTCGGGCTCCGCGTCGGCAGTGCCCATGCAAGGCCAGCACAGCAGCACCATCCGCCCTGCCCGCCGCCAAATCTCGACCGTGATCCTCGCCATCATGCGCTGGTCCTCGATGTGCGGCTCCGTGCCTCGACGTCTCGCGGTCTGCCGTGCCAGGGACCGCACGGTCACGAGGGAGTCCGGGTGCGGATGGCCGAAGCAGGAGAACGTGATCGGGCGGTACACGATCCCCTGTCTCTCGAGTGCCTCAGCGTGAGGCTCCATGCGTGCGCATTTGCGCACGCGCATGGCCTTGGTGCAGTCAGAGCCTGCCCCCGTGGCCGCGGGACTCGTGATCCCCACATCCAGCGCCGCCAAGCGCCCTGTCAGACAGGAGGAGGAGGAGGAGGAGGAGGAGAAGGAGGAGGAGGAGGAAGAGGAGGGAGAAAGAACAGGTCAGCGCGGCTCGCGCGTGCGCAGCTCGCAAGTATGTCCCTCGCGAGCGCTGGCCCCAGCAGGGGCGGCAAATTCAAGCACAACACAGACTGATATCGTGAAAGCGGTGGCGGCAGCGGCAAGGAGGAAGGGACAGGAGGTGAAGAGGAAGAAGGCGCGAGGAAAGGAGAAAGGAGAGGGCACGACGAGACGAGCAAAAATCACAGACCGCCCAACAACCAGGCCAGCCCCCCGCCCGAAGCGGAGGAAACAGTCTGGAGTGGTCTGCCCAGACCGCCGCCCCTACGAATACGGACGGTGCCATTCGTTGAATCGGCTGCTTGTTGTTGTGCGGGCGGCCGCGCCCATGCGAACCCTAGAAAAAGATGCCAACGGGCTGGCATTATCTCAAAATGGCGGCGTTTTCCGCAAGGGTCCCCCCATCCGCCTCCCAGGCCCCGACGGCCTCGCTGTGGTGGGATTGTCCCGGCCGCGTGGCCGGTATCCGGGCGAGCTCCGCCAACCGCCAACTTATCGCAGGCCTTGCCGGGCACGAGGAGGAGAAGGGAGAAGAGAGGTGCAACTGAAAGCTCTTGCCGAACGTCCTGGGGAGGTCGCCCAACGTCTTACTAAATCACCCACTCGGCCATCGTCAACAGAGTCAGGTCGCATTCCGACCAGCGGCACGTTCGTGCCGCGACCACGTGCCTGTCTAGGCCAAGGCGTTCGCCCGCCGTGCCCCCGACGACCATGATGGCCATTTCTACATGCGCGCGAATGGCTGGTGCCCTTTATCTGGTCGGCTCGCAGAACAAAAAAAAAAAAACGTTAGGCTGGTACCACCCTGTGTAGCCGGCTCGCGGGGTGAAAAAGGCACCGGAAAATATGTGACGTAACATGTCCGCCGGCCGGGAGAAAGAAGAAGGGAAGGGAATGCAAGGGGAGACACCAGAGCAGGAGGCAATGGCCTGCCAGGCGTGCGCGCCACGCGGCACGTGCACGACAGAAATTGTCGGCGGGCGTCCAGACGTGCCACCGAAATCAGGCAATGACCCCGGGCACGGTGACAGCCGCAAGAGCAAGGGGGGAGGCGAGCAGGAGAAGACCAAGGAGGAGCGGGGAGGAAAACAGGGCCAGAGCGCCTTATCGGCCGTACAGGTGGGCACAAAAACTGCCTGGCGTCGCGGCGCGCGCACTGGTGCGCGGCGCTCACCAGCAAACGCTCGGGCGAGCACGTTCGCCGAAGGGTGCCCGCGGA